TCAAACTCATAAACCAGGAGATCATGACCTGAGCCAAGGTCAGACGCTTAACCCGCTGAGCCACCCAAGTGCCCCTGAATGGTCTTTTTTAAAAAAAATATTAATCCATTAGATTATAAGCCACTCAAGGGTCAGGAATTCCTTCTCTTTTGTTCCCCACTATTTACCTAATGCCTGGAACAGTGCCTGACACTTAGTAGGAAAAGTGTGGGTGTGGGTGTGTGCATGCACGCGTGCACACACGCACTCGTGAGCACACACATACACACCTATAGATACACACGCAAGCATTAGCAGTTTGAATTGAGTTCATGTACTTAGTTCGGGACTCTAACCAGTTATTCTGACTCTTAGTCATTCTTTGCTGTTTGCAAATTTTTAATGTTTCCAAATTTTCACGCTGTTTCCTCTAGGAGTTTTCAAAGGAACTAGATGACAAGTCCTCCTTGAAGACTGCGGTTATAAGTACTGGGAATCAGCTTCTTCACCTGAAAGAAGCCGATACGGCTACCCTGAGAGCTTCTTTAGCGCAGTTCGAACAGAAATGGACAACGCTCATAACTCAACTTCCAGATATTCAAGAAAAACTTCACCAGGTAGGTATTTAAAGACGCAGCATTTAAATTAGCATTCACTTGTTAGCTCACAACTCCTTTAAAATTATTTCTCTGACTCAATAATTTTCATTGACACTATCTATTTTCCTCTGGCACCACTGAATATGGGTCTTAATTACTGGACTCTCCTCCAGTGGGATCTTTCTTACCGGAGAAATCAGGCTTAATTACTTTATTTCCCAGTTTATCTGCATCACTGTGTTCCTTTATGTGAAGGTCATCGTCATTGTTTTGGGGTCACTTATTCTAAGCTTGAATGCCGGGTTTGTTTTTGTGAGCAACCTGCATAATTATGTAGCAAGACCTTTTATCAAACCAGATACCGTCTTTAGTGATGCCCCGATTCATTTTGTCAACTGCAGGTAATTAAATGGAAATCATTTTGTCCTTGCAGCTCCAGATGGAGAAATTGCCATCTCGTAAAGCAATCACAGAAATGATTAGCTGGATGAACGATGTGGAACATCAGACCGCAGATGAAGACTGTGAGCATTCTCTGAGTTCCGCATCTCAAGTTAAAAACCTTCTTCAGAAGTACAAGGTAATTATACGAAAAGAGCCACAAGCTTGCTCGTTAACTAAGAAGGCAAGTCAGTTGGAAGGGAAATACCAAAGAGACCGGTGTGGTGCGCTTTAGAAGAACTGATTCTAGGCGTGGGGAATGGGATATTGGATGATTCTAGACAGACGTTAGTATACTTTTTCTATTCTGCCTCGTTTCGTTTGGGAGCTCCTATCACCACAGGACAGAATCCAAGCTTTTAACTTGCCCTGGCCCCTCTTTACTTCTCCAGCCTCATCTTTTCGTTCCCCGATATAGATCCTGGACTCTGCCTGACCTGAATGAACCCGCTGCATCTGGTGTTCTCCCGGCTTCTGCTTTTGAAAAATTTTTTTTTTAACATTTATTTATTTTTGAGACAGAGAGAGACAGAGCATGAATGGGGGAGGGTCAGAGAGAGAGAGAGGGAGACACAGAATCTGAAACAGGTTCCAGGCTCTGAGCTGTCAGCACAGAGCCCGACACGGGGCTCGAACTCACGACCCGTGAGATCATGACCTGAGCCAAAGTCAGAGGCTTAACCGACTGAGCCACCCAGGCACCCTGGCTTCTGCTTTTGTACATGCTATACCTTCAACCTGGAATTCTAGTGCCCCACTTGTGGCCGTAGAAATGCTCTTAGTTCATCTTTCAAAACTCTCCTCAAGTATCTCCTGATTTGGAAATCTACTCCTGACTCTCCCAGCCAGCCGAGTTCACTTTCTAGGATTAGGCGTCTCCAGGGTGTGATAATTATTTGCTTCCTTGCCTGTCTCCTTCTTGAGAGCAGGGCCAATCCTTCACCTCCCTGAAACAGCACACCTAGCCCAGGACCTGGCATCCAACAGGTGTTAAGTCAATGTCCTTTGCGTAAGAGAATGCAGAAGGAAAAGTTGATACCCTTCTACAAATACATATAAATGTGGCCTTCTCTGTGATATTTGACTTCAGATAGATTTAACTCACACTTAATAAGCCACACACAAACATTTATTGTGTACCAGGTAATGTGTTCACCACTAGGAACTCAGGAGATCAATGAAGTCTCTGGTCTTTGCTTTCAAAGACCTCACAGGCTGATGGATGTAGCTTCTGGTAGGCAGAGGACAAATACTTTGGTCACGAGGCATGATGTTAGCAAGGATTTTACTTTTATATACTAGCACATCCTAACTTCGGGGAGTAGTAGAATCTTTGGAGGGTCCACATGCATGTATTCTTCTACACTCTTGTAACCTAGCATATACCACATAGTTTTTCCCCTGATGCCTCCAGCGGGGTGTTAGGACTTACGAGGATAAGCTTAATAAGTATCCAGCTTGACAGAAACATGCTTGGCGCTGGGTGTTTTTAGGCTTGCTACGGAACAGAGAAGCTACCTAAGCTGGCAAAGTTCCTTAATGTCCTGCG